ATAGTATAATATAATATAATATAATATAATATAATATAATATAATATAATATAATATAATATAATATAATATAATATAATATAATATAATATAATATAATATAAAATAAAAGTGGAAGTTAAGTTTATTAATCAAGTTCATAGAATAATGCCTAGAAAACTCCAAAAATGAAAAATATTACCTGTTGGTGACCATCCTCCTCTCCCTCCTCTGACTCCACCATCACCCTGGGTCTCCACAGAGAAGATACAAACAATTTCACAGAGATATACCCAGGATTCCAGGCATAAAGCAACAGAGTTAAAAGAAATATTCTTCCTAACAGCTAAGCCTATAAATCAAAAGTCCACCATGAAAGAGAATGAGCAGAGCAAAAAGATGGGACCATTAGCAACCTTGGAAACTGAAGATAATAAAAATTGTGACAGTCTATAAAATCCTAAAGTATTAAAAAAGTAATGTTAATTAAAACATGAGATAGTGAAAAAAGAAGACCAATAGGGAAATAACCCATTAGCACTTATAGACATCTAAAGGAATCAGTAATAGCGAAGGTTGAAAAACCAAATGGATGCGTTTTATAGCTGAAGAAATACAAAATTTAGTGCAAAGACAGAACTAAGTGGAAAAATATTGAAGACAAGTGAAAAGACATGAAAGACAGAAAGAGGATGTCCAATATATCCCTAATAGGCATTTCATAAGGAAAATAAGATGAATTAATAAGAGGAATGCTCAAAGACAAATGGATAAGAACTTGCCACAATTGAAGATATGAGCCCTCAGATTTGAAAAATTTGAAAAACAATATGTCTTCTGCAGAGTTCAAAACAAACAAAAATCCAACAATTATTTTGCAGTGAGCTTTCAAAGCATGAGAGAGAAAGATAGGAGAGTGAGAAATAGTAAAAAAAATAATAATAATAGAAAAACAGATTATCAACTAAGGATTGACAGTTAGTGAAAAGATATCATAAAACAGTGGAATAATGTGCTCAAAGTGCTGAGGGAAAATGAAGCGTCAACCTCAAATTCTAAGACCCAGCAAAACATGCATGAAATGAAGATCTCCTCAGTGAGAATTTACCTTTTACACAGCCAGGCTGAAAGAATACTGAAGGATGTACTACAGTTAAGAATAAATATTTTTTTAAAAAACAGAAAGAGCTGTGTGTTATGTGTGTTTGGTAAATAAGTTCTCAATACTACATATTTATTGACTGTAAACAATAATTTTGTGGGAGAGGAGGCAGAACTTCCCACCAATTTACACATTCTTTCAGCCTCTACTGATGGAACCTTAGAGGTTTCTATGATTTCAGTGTCTTAATTGCTGGTTAAGAACAGAGACAAACTGGGTATGGGAGTGGCAAATGTAGGGATTTTCACACATGTACTATGTCACTGTTTTCCTCAGAGTTTGTTGTGGGAGCACAGAGTTATCTGGACTATTCTTCTCATCTATGTATCACCAGAAATCCTCCCATTGCACTTAAAAGGTAGTCTTAATGAGCTTTAATAGTGAAGACAAAGCAGGTGAGGGGCAGGCATTTGACAGAGCATGTGCCTGAGCAGGGAAGGGGTGGTGATGACGGGATCAGATGCACAGGTGTGGATCCTGGCCTTATGCAGAATATTGTTCATTTTTGTACTAATAAGAAAGTCATAGTGCACAGGTACAAGAAAACCCAGTTGGTTGTTAAGATTGTGAAAGCTTGTGCTTTCTCCTACCTGCTTCTATTTTCACAGTCAAGTGAGAAGCAAGGTCACCTGCTGAGAGTGAAAGAGAGAGATGCTAGCATCTGAGAAGCAAGAAGATGTGACTAAGTAATTTAATTAGTTACCCAATCAGGGAAAGAATGAACAGATTAGGGGGAGTAGGCAGGCCCCACTTGAAAACAGTGGCCATCCATTTAAAGTGAGACTAGTTATTTTGCTCATGTGTATTTCCTCCCAATGTTCACCTCCCTAATGCAGGTTTAACCAGACTGGGGTTTTGTCAAGCAATTGTGATGAAAGATGAGAAGACCAGGCATTGATGGTGTGTACAAAGGAGTGGCTAGTGGCCAAGGTAAGCCTCTCCTTGAAAGACTCCTAAGTGGAGATGGTAGATGCCTCCTTCTTCCTTGACAACGTGATTTGGCCCATCAACTCCCAGATCATACTTTCCAGTACACGACGGACAGCTGACTCACTGTGCCCAGAAAGGTGGCGAACTGGGTAGGCCTGTCTATCTAAGATTACATCAAAGCTATTGAGGAAAAGCAAAATTTGTGGACATGATTAATTTTCTAAGAAACTTTTCAAGCAAACTAAAACTTAGACGTTTGGCAGCAGGTTAGAGCTAATGACGCGTTCTCTGGAATTTTAGCAGCAACAGTAATTTTAGGCACTGATTTCTTCTCCTTTTGCTTATTTTCCTCCTACAAGCTTCTATATTTTTCTTATCTCTTTTATAAAGAACATGTACAGATATCCATTTGTGACCCGCGTGACTAGGATCAAATATCAGAATTATCAGCATTACCCGAGAACAAAATCTCAGCACAAAGAGTTCACGGAGCTCTCTGCAGAGGCACCCACCCCAGCTGCTAGTGTCACAGGACTGCCCGTCCGCTCGGGGCTCACAGGACCCCTCCCTGGGTGTGGCGCTGCTCCAGCTTTCCTCTGTTTTTATCCCTAGTTTGGAATCACAGGACGCAGGTGCAGCTGTTGGAGCCCCACCCCGTGAGCCTGCCAAAAGGAGATAATGCTGCCCCCAGAAAACGGGAAATTGCTGTAGCTGTAAACTCAGCACGCACTCCCAAACATGACTAACACAGAATTCTTGAGTCTAGTTTATTTCAAGCAAATTCTCTGTTATACATATATTTTACTATAACTTCAAAAAATAAAATGCATTGAGGCAGTAAGAATTTCTAGGTAATAAATGCCTGTTCATTTTACTTGAATCCGCTGTTATTTTTTGTTTTGTTTATTTATCTAATCCAGAGGAATCCTGCTAGATTTTCCAAGGCATTTGCAGTTGAGGGCGGGGGAATCTGAGTTAAAAGACATGAACTCTAGCTCATACATGGGTTAAACTCCTTATATGGGTTTTATTAAAAATGACAGGCTTGGTGCTTACTAGCTTGTATCTGCCCCATGGGAAACTGCCCTCCTGAAGAATGAGGGCCAGGCTGTTCTTAATTTAACACTGACCATCATTTGCATCAAGGGCAGAAGACCATAGTCCATTCAGCCCCTGGGCTGTTGGTTATAAAAGGCTTGGCTAAAATAGCGACAAAGCTAATCACAGGTTTTGGCTTTCTGGAAACTGAATTGGGAAATTTAGAGGAAGCCAAAGAGATTCAGAAAGAGAGGCAATGAGGCAGGAGGGACAAGGTCGGCCACGGGGGTAAATTAAAGCTAGAAGTAAAGAGAAGCTTTAAGCAAGCAGAAGGAGTGGGTAGAGAAGAGCTGTACGGAGCAGTGAGTGCCGTAGCCAATCTGTGAACTGGGGGAAGTAAGACTCTACAGATGATGAGCAGGGAAGCGCAAGAAGCTGAGTCTCTAACCTCCGCAGGGGAGCCTGTTGAAATGTCATGACCTCCGGCTGTGAAGATTCCTGTGGCTGTCTTGAAGCCACCGTACCCTTCAAGTGGCTCTTTCAGACCTGTCCTTATTTTTGGATATGACTGGGATCACAAGCCCCTCATAACCTGAGTTAACGCAGGCGAGTCTATTTCGCGTAACCAAAGAAACCCGAGTAACACAGAAATTACTACCAGGAACAGAGATATATGAAATACAAAATCACCAAGAATGGGGAGCTTTTCCAATTCATGAAGACATCCTGGCTGGAAAACATTCAGAGTGTTCTACTTATTCCAGAAGTGTGTTTTCCTGGGGTCCTTACCATGCGGCCAAAGATGAGGCTACAGGCAGGAGCTGCAAAGCAATAATTTAAAGGGTGTAAAGAATGAAACAGAGCTGAGTTGGATGATTTTAGCCTACAGAAGTAGCAAATTTACAAAATTAAAGTCCAGAATGCCCTGCTGAGAGCAGCTGAAGAAGCCTGTCCGAGGATGCGCTTTTATCTGACCCTTGGCAGGGCCCACGGCCAAGCAGTTGCATCGGAAGCAATCACAGAACCTCGCAGCATCCTTTTTTGATCAGGACAAGTGCCCATTTGACAGGAATGAGAAAAGCGAAGGGCATTACCTTTTACTGGGCTCCTCTTTCTGACCACTTGTGATAATCTATCACAAAAATGAAGCAAACTCTAAACTGATCACCTTTTTCTCTGGTTGAGCCATTAGGGCCTGGAAAAAAGGACTCATACAAAAAAAAAATTCCTGGAGGATCACAGAGCACAACAGGAATGTGAGACAGTCTTGCATGCTAGATGCTGAGCAATCAAAGCTTAGAGGATATGCTCACGTGGTTAATGAAACCAGGGTGTCTCAATACTGGCACTGACATTTGGAGCTGGATACTTCTTTGTTGTAGGCATGGTCCTGCAGGTTGCAGAATGTTTGGCAGCCTCCCTAGCCTCTACCTACAAGACACCAGTAGCAGCTCCTAGATGAGATAACCAAACACATCCCCAGAGAAGGCCAAACGTTCCCTTGGGAAGGCGGGTGGATGCCCCGGGGGAGAACCATTAAACTAAAGCAACCAAATAGGTGTGGTAACCCAGGGATAGAAAATGTCTCAGGTACCAAAATCATAAATATATTTCTTTGTAGATTTTAATTATGCAATTAACACAATGGATAGAGTTTCCTTTTCAAGGAAATTAGAATATTACAGCTAAAATGACAAATTTTTATACACATTCTAAGCCTTCCTACAAGTTAGGAGAACTTGCCTCTTTTACAAATTATGTGTGGAAATAGTTCTTTGTAGGAATCAAGGTGAGGAGCCGCGTTCTACCTTTAAGTCAATGCCAAGGTGAAGGGGAAAGAATGCAAACCACAGACCAGATGGCAGTGCTCAGCAGAGAGGGGAGTCTGTCAGGGACGAGCATGAGATGAAGAGCTCCTGTAGGGTTTTCAGAAGCTTAGAATGGGCATTGAATTTTTCTGCGGGTCAGAGGACTGATTTATCTAGATCTCATAGAGAGCCATTAATTGATATCTGAACTACTTATCATAGCAGTAAACAATAATGAAAACTATAATAAAGATGACTTAAGAGAAATTCATCACAGATTCATTTATGAGATAAAGTTGCATATAACCAAAATGGCAGATAATAGGAAAAGGTTCAGTGAAAGCCTTGATAGCTGATCAAAGGAACTCGATTCAGTCATTACAATACAGAAGTGTGATAACGACGTGAGAAATGCTCATGAATTGTGGAGTGGAGAAATATGGGAAATTACTATGCTCACCAATGTCAACTTTGAAAAAGCACTTATGAAAAGCACATTGAATATAGGACGGCAGAAATATTTACTGTGTTTTATTACAGATTACTCTTATCTTCATCTACCTAATTTATATATATCCTCAAATTCCCCCAAATTTATTTTACAATTAGAATGTACAATTATATTTGAAGGTTATACTGTATAATTTCATCCTTTAACTTATCAATCTTCTTATAGTCAATGTCACATTAAACTAGTACTTAAGCAAATAATGGTTATAAATAGCTGATATATTTGACATTTAGGTCTAAAAAAACACAATATTTCATTTTTAAAATGTGCTCAACATTCAGCCTTATTGATAATAACCAAAAAACAGTCTAAGATTACGTGAGTTTTGAATTAAGCACAAAATAGGCCTTTTTAGCGATTCATATGTTAAATTAGTAACACTAATTATGTTAAGTGTTTACTACCTTTCCCTATTTGTACCTCTCCCCTCTAAAGTTCCAAAGTTTAAAACACCATTTAAAATCTTTATCATTATTGAATATTTAAACTACCAGATGCTTCATTGTGTTAGCTGCAGTAATATGGAAGATTCTTCTGTAATTATAGAAACTGATAATGTAGTAAGACCTAAAGCCTGTTAGGAGGTTCAGAGTTTTAAGGCTCTTTCAGAAGTTTAAGGCTTTTTGTCCAGGAGGAGTTTCTATCTAACTGTTGTCTCAACTTCGTCATCAAAATTTCCCAGCTCCTGTTCTTTAGAGAGTTCTAAGTAGGAGAATATAAATAAGGGAACAAAAATGTCAGTGTTTTTGAGCGATGGATGCACACAGAGGTTCCCCGTATGATGCTCACTGGTCTAAAGAAAACTTACCTGTTCCAAGGTAGCCTGAGAGATGTTACATTCTTCCAGTTCCAAGGTCCATTTCACTGCATTTAAAGGGTCTGACATTCGTGGCTTACATTTTTTTCACCAGAAATGTTTTCAAAATATGCAATAAACACAGCAACTTCAAATCCATGAGATACTTTAAGACACAGGCCGAGTCCTTAAGTTTTCTTGAAGGATAAATTCAAGAATATTGACATGGCTAATCAAAATAGCAGTACATGAGTGTATAAATCACCAGTAGAGTAGCTCATGAAAGAGATCCCGGTGTCCTATTCCAGTATTTTGCCTTTTGATTGTTTATATATGTATGTTTTGGACTCCAAATCAAGCATTGCTTTTTGATATTTATAAATCTATGGAGGAGTACACTCTATGCTGGTCTCTTTGTAATGAATTTCACATTTCTGCATGTCAAGGCCTCATAAATGTCCAGTGTGAGCTCTAGTCAGTGCCTCTGGAACGAGGGCAGAAACCCTCCCCAGTCCTGATTTATCACAATGTATCTTGTCACGTTATCTTCCCATGTAACTTCCTGTTGTGATCTTCATTTGGGCCTCCGTATTCTTGCTCCTCATGCCTCTGACTTTGATAAATATGGAGATATTCATATGGGGAAGCTCAACATGGTGTTCTTTGGGACAACATGGCGATAACTATCCTCTGACACCAAGCAACGGAACTGGCACAGAATGTTCAGACTTATTTGCAGCTCGATTTCTTTGTTAGCAGATGTAGAATCGACTTCAGTCTAGGGCCACCACTCCTCCATTCCCTTTGGGATTTTTTAAAGACAATTTCAGCAGAGGTTTCCCAAGGTTCGATTGACTATATAATTCTCCTACTTGAAATTACATAATATGCACTCCACGTAAAAATATGCAATACATAAAGTCTTAAATATGTCTAAGCTGACCTGCCTTTCAATTGAAAAAGGCCTGAGATAGAGGGTGAACATCTTCCATAGGTAATTTGTATGGCATCATGGAGCAATACCTGAGAGGAAGAGAGAGTGAGATTTATCACTGCTGGTCAGTGTTAAATTGGGGAGCATTTAAGGGGAAGGCAATACTGGGAAGAAACTGATAGCCAAAATAACAAAATAATTTTTCAGTTTTCTTAAATAGAAAGGTAAATAGTTACATTAGAGAAAACATGATTGTAAGCCAAATAACTTATTTTTGGTCATGAAAATTTGATGACCACAAAAATCTGATTGCCTCTCATTTAATGTTCAATCAAGATTGATTCTGAAAAATAGCTCTGATAAAGAACCTTTCATACTCAGCCTGTACTTTCTTCCAGTGCTCTATTTCTTACTCTGAAAAGTCATTCCTTCAACCTGGAACCTTTTAATCAAATTTCCCCTCTACATTTAATTTTCAGTCTCTCTTATAAGAATTAAAACTGTTGAACTCCCTCCTATTACCAAAAATTCTTCCTTCGCATCCAGCTTCCCGCTCCCCAGATAAAGTCATGCATGAACTCTACATTTGCACAATCTGGGGGATACTCTTTAGTCATTTTTTTAGACTTCCCAAAAGTATTAAATAAAGTGATACCCATCATCCTTAAAACCACACACACATGCTTTCTCTCCTGGCTCTTGATACAACCAACACACGAATGATTTTCTTTCTCTCTAGATTTGCTCTAAGGTTAGCTATTAGCTACACGTGGTTATTTACATTTAAATTAACTAAAATAGATAAAATTTTAAAGTCAATTCCTTGGTCACACTAGCCACACTGGAAGTATTCAGTAGCCACCTGTGATTATTGGCTACCACACAGAACAGCAGAGATATAGGACTTTTCCATGATCACAGAAATTCTACCGGACCGTGCTGTTCTAGACACCACTTAGTACTTGTCATTATGGCTGTGGATGTGGTGGTGGTGGTTTCCCCACCAGCTTTTCTTCCTCAATCCATCTCAATACTGAGAGTTCCTGAGCTCCACCCTGGACCCATTCCCCTTTCCATCTTCCTTGATGACCTCACCCATTCTTCTAAGCTTAATGGTCTTCTAATAGGGTAAAAATGTCCCCGTTTGTTCATTTCTAGAATAGATCTCTCAGTGACCTTTCTTTTCTTCTGACCCAAAATACATATCTGTACTTTGGCATCTCCATGTGGATATCTCTTTATACATCAACTGTGTAAGCTTTCTTTCCATCTTTTTCATGTATGAAGTTCATTCTTGACTTAATTTTTACATGTGCTGTTTGCTCGAGTGAGTGGCTCTTATTCCTATCCCTCGGCTGGCCAAGCCCTGCTCTGTCTTAAAGTCTTACCTTAATGTCATTTCTCAATCTTGTATCTTCATATGCTTAACATCTTTATCCTCAAAAGACTGCAAGTACCCTAAGAACCTTGCTTATTTATTAACTGTTGGATACATAGTCTCCAGCAGATAGTGGGTGCTCAATAAATATTATTTTTGAAAACGAGTAGATAGGAAAACCCTATACATCTTTCAATTCAATTCAACATCATTCTGCCCTTCCCATGGGCTTGGTTATCCTTGCTTCTTGCCCATATCTGACCACACAAATTTAAAAGAACCATAGGAAATATCAAGTGACTTATAATCAATTATCTTAGGACAGAGTCAATTTTTCTTAAGCATGTAAGTGTGTGTCATCAAGCACTTGATGCAATTTTGTACTTGGTAAAAATGCTATAGGTTGATACATAATTTTCACTGTCTATTTCTTAAAATCAAGTTCATGGTGTACTTTTTACTTTGTTCCTAATCTCTAAACTGTTCCATCATTCACACACCCACACGTGTGCACACACTCCATCCACCTTTCTGAGGTATGAAGCACTCACTGAAAATAACTTCCAATTGCTCTTTTTTTCCCATACATATGACCCCCCCCAACAACTTATTTTGTAATAAACAAGCCAGCTCAGCCTTTCTCTTCCTGTCTAGGCTAGGACAAAACTAAATGATGTATACTGTAAAACTCAGACCTGTCACCCAAGCCAAAAACCTCCTTTACCTTTCCCGCTCAGCAGCCTGTGGAAAGAGCTTCACAATCTGCGTGGAGAGTCCCCCCTGAGAGGCTTCCTTCCTTTTCACTTCTAGAAGATAATCTTTACCAGACTTGTTTTTCAGATGTTGAATGGAACCAATACACCAAGCTCAGGGAAGAGAACAAAAGAGTTGAAAGAAAAAAATACTTGTCTCTTAATTTCTTCCTTAACTGAAATGCAGAGAAAGGTGTTTGATCATAAATCAAGTTGCTGGAGAGCATCAGCGAAAATCTCTCTTGGGGACCAAGTGCTGGCTCTCAGCAGGCACCCACCTCAGCCTCCCAGACACCAGGAGGGTCTCAGCCTCTGCCGTGTAATGTGGCCAGGAGGGCGCCCCTCTCCGTGTTTTTAACAATGGTCTGAATTGCCTGTCTAAAGGTAAAGTAAGGGATTGTTTACATTTAGAAAGTTACTTAGGAAAATAGATGAATGGGAATAATGACTGAATATAAAATTTTAAACCAAGTTGCAAGAAAAAAATCTTTGCTCTAGAGAGAAAGGATAGAAATTATACTGAATTATGTAATTATATTACCACACTACTTGGCTTCATAGAATGAAAAGTAGATTGGGAAACAGTGAGTAAAATGTTTGTTTTTCAAAGTAACACAAGTTGGGATATAGAGAAACCACATTGCAGGACTTTCAGTAACGAAAAAATTGAAGAAAGAGGCAGGGAAGAGGAGTAAGAGAAACAAAGTTCATCCAATACATCCAAGAGTCTATCTGATTCTTAAAAATGTTTATTTTTTCTTCCTTGAGGAATTTTGAATACTATATTGAGTTTCACTGAATTAAATAATAGAGAATGTGATCCTCAAAGGTTAATGGAGCAAATGTAAAAAAATAAATAAATAACTAGACTTACAGTATTGACTCTGATACTTAATATGAACCTCCAAATATCTGCTGCTGCCCTGTGGGGTCCATCTCCATGGATGGCTCATCCAGAAACACCACCAATGGGTTTCCTAGGGAGTTTGGTGTGAAGTACAGCTGGAACGAGAGGAACAGTGTCTGGAACTGACCTGTGGGGTGCTCAGAGTAAGCCCCACCCTTACCTTCCTCTTTATTACCTCTGATAAGACCCTCCCAGGAACTTTTAGGTTGTTCCTGGAGCTTGAGAGCTTCCACCACTCTGACAAAAAACAAACAAACAAACCACTTTCTTGCTATTTGAATTGGGACAGGACTTTAGCTTTCTCTGCCAACATAGCAAGTGTTCTTATAATTATATTTTCCCAAAATATATGAACAGCCTCAAAGAATGGAATATGATCCCCCTTCACAGTCTTAAACCTAAAGTATAAGGAACATTCTCATAAAGGGAACATTCTCGTAAAGGGAACATTCTTCTAACCTTTGTGAACACATAAGGAAACATTTCTAATGGCTATTTTCTTCTTTCTTGTTGAAAACAACTTTTCTTTCTCTTTTTATATTCCTGGTGTAAACAGCTTGACATGTCAAAGCATGATTTTCCTGTTAAACATCAGATATTTTGTACATTCATGTTTTACCTTTCACATCCTAGCCTCTGAATCCAACCAGATTTCTTGCCAGTGGTAATTCAGCCTCCTTTTTTCAAGTAAAATGCCCAAATGTATGTTCATGAACAAATACTACTTTATCAACTACTTTTAAAACTAATTCTTAACCAAACACATCCCCTTTGTATTATGCTAAACCTCAACCTTGCCCTCTGCACTGTTTCATTTCCAGTTCATTTCTTATTGATTTCCAGATAGTATAAATTCACTTGCTCTTTTTCATATGTTACTCACAGTTATTAATATTACAATTGAAGTACAAGGCAAAAATGAAGTTGCAACCCTTGCAAAAAACATGGGATTTTGTTAAAGTTGATAAAAATATCAAAGAACTTCTTGAATAGCACAGATGAATGAACATCTGGCAGCTTAAGACCCAGAAAAAAAAAAACTGAAGGAGACAAAGTAAAAGAGTGAAGACAGGACAGATGCTTTAGGAGGCATGATTTCAATGCGACCTATTAGAGAGGCATTACAGAGACAAAAGCAAGGTTTCCAGTTGAAAGCCAAGAGTTCATCAGCGGTCTAGGACAAGCTTCCGACGTCAGTGCTGCCTTGAGGGTGCAGCCCCTGGCGCTCACCTCAGCCAGGACGCGGCAGCGAGGGCATCCGTTTTCACTCCTTCACTTGAACATCTTCCAGCTCTTCTGGGTTTGGAGGGTTTTCCTAATTCTTGAAGAATTAGGTTTTCTCTAATTCTCTACAGAGAAAATAAAATGACATAAACATATAATTACAGCTGTACACCTAAGAAGAGGACGTATGCTTTTGTAATTACATTTTTTTACCTTTCGCTTTACAAGAATAAACATGATGAATTTACTGCGTACAAGATTCTCCTTGACAGTGTCAACCCTGCAGGAGCCAAGTCCCCCGAAATGCTCTTTCACTATTTTTCTCTTTCAAGCCTTTTGCCCATCAGTCTGCGAGCTCAGATGGATCCTGATCAGTGTTTTGGCCTCTTGCCATCCAGATGACATCATAAAATGCTACGTTAATTGGTTGCCATCACATTATATCATAAAAAGTTACATTAATTGGCTACTCTTGCCTTTTCCAAATATTCCAAACACTCATATTATTGTGTCTCCTATTCAGGGACCTGTACTTGCCATAAGCAGCAGAAAAACAAGAATTGGTGATTAACCACTGCTTAGAGGGATGTGCAGGGCAAAAATGCCACTTGCTTCATTACAATCAATAAGACCCATGACTTAGAAGCTATGTAGCCCTGCATTCAATCTAATCCTATTTCTTTTTCCCGGAATGACACCTTCCAATGTGCCTAGCTGAGAGAGAAAGAGAAATCTGTCCTTACAACTTGATGTTAAAGGTACTGCCACAAAATTAAATATTGTAATTATTTTCAGGTGTTCATTCACGTCCTTCCAACCTGAAACCTGAATGCTTGCTCATTGTTCCTTTTGCATATTTCATTTCCGGAGACCGTACAACAAAAAGGAAAATGATACCCTGAAGGTACAGCTAAAGGCAAAGAAAGATAATTAGAATTAGCACTGTCATGGGATTCAAACTCAGTGGGCAATATCTGCCTTTTCTTATAGAAAATTTGATCATTGTCTTATAAATTTGACAAAAATATCTCACAAAATACTTCTCACATAGAGAAGGTTACCCAAACCAACGTTCCCGTTGAAAAAAAAAACACAAAAATTCCTGGATTAAGTTAAAAAAAAAAACAACCTCTAAGGCATAGAAAAGATGATGAGATAGTAAAGACTTTTAGAGTCCTTAAAATGATTGTATGTGGAACATCTCTACATATATTTATAAATAAGAATATGCATTTAATGTATGAAGACCCAGGTGGAAAAGTACATAAATTTAAAACTCTATAAAAATTTGGGAAAATTTTTCCCTTAATAAACTCCTCTTCTGTCATTGAGAGAAAAAGAGTCCTGTAATCCATTTTGTTTCCCCCTTTTGCCTGTTATCATAATGCACAAAAATAACATTTATATTTTGGTTTTGTATCTTTTCCCAGTGTAAAATTCCACATAATTTTTGTCCTTTATTCTTCATTATTCAGATTAGCTTACTTTTTCATCCACATTTAAATGATGTTTAGTCACACAGCATCTGTGGTCTTCTTATAAAAACCACCTTAAAGTGTCTTTGGACAGATCATAACAATGTATATCATCATAGCATCAATCAAGTCTTTAGAATTTCTGGTATGTATTTTACTGTCATTGTCCACATAGAAAAATGCTTTTAGGTTTTACTGCCATTATATTTGGACATAGAATATAGGAAGGGTAGATACTTTTGGGATATTTAAATTTGTCCTTCTTTGGACAGGGTCAAGTCTATCACATGGCCATGAACCTTATGCATTATATATTCAGGCAGAGATTTTTCTTACTATTAAGATTGCTAAGAAAGTGGGTTCACCAACATGGACTTCATCTATTCCATCATTCAGACTTTGGGAGTGTAGGATCTAAGCATTCAGTGAAGACAACAGGTTAGCCTGTTAGCCTAAGCACAGCCATTTTGAGAAGCTCAGAGGCTACTTTCTGAATATGTTCAGAAAGCCCTTGAAAAACAAGGTGAAAAACAAGTTAATCATGAACACCAGGTGGTGGGCAGCTGCGGCCTTCAGACAGCTAACCTTGGTCAGTTAGTCATACATACCAAGCTTATCTTGCTGAAACACTGTATGGCTGACAGTGTTCTTATCTCGTGAAACCCCCGGGATGTGGCGCCAACCGAAGATTTATGCGTCCTTGGAAAAAAACCCCTGTTACGTGCTTGTAGAACAATACTGTCTTTTTAGAAAATGCTATAAAAACCTCCGGCTTTGACTGCTCGGGGTCCTTGTTGAGACCCGCTGCGTCAGGCTGATGCTTGGACCCCAGCTAGCTGGTTCCTGAATAAATTCCTCTTGCTTGTTGCATCAAGAGACGCCTTTCGTGAGTGATTTGGGGCGGCGTCCTCCTCAGGGAGAATCCAACAGGAGCTTCTCACGTGCATAAAGGATAGTCGTTGAAGAAAAACAAGGATGAAATGAAAGTTTCTGTACTTCACGAATATAAAATGTAAACACTAAATATGCCAATGCTGTACATGATGTTCCAAGGACCCCCATGAATACTCCATGAATTCCGTTAAGACACGTTCTCCAATACTGTCTGCTGAGCTGACATTCTCCCTTGGCTGTAATCTCCAATACTTTTTGTTTTCCAATTCTATATAGTAGGTATTTACAAGTTTCTTTTAAGTGGGAGTGACAAAGTCTAGAACTGAGAGGTAGGGGAGATTTGTCAATAGGTCCCCCAATTCTCAGTAGTGCCTGGTTTCTCCCAGACGTGGCCTCATGCTATCTTTTCCTTACCAATCACTCCCAAAGCAATTTATTGACATGAAGCAGTATACAACAAAGAACACAATTTGTCACATCTTCCATGTAGTCCTATATTTTAAGAAAAGATAGACTTGAGCCTCATAATCAATTTTATACTGTTTTAAAATCTTGTTTTCAGAAGTTATCAGCTTTGAATAACTTCTAAGTTTTACAACATGCTCCTGTTCCAACATCGGGCAAAGATTTTATTAAAGGGCTATCCAGTCAAGGCCAGTGACACTGTAGGTAATATTGCTTACCTCTACCAAAAATGTGAGAAATGCAATTCGCATGAAGGAAGGTATTAAAATCATGCATAAAATTAAACTGGGATTTCCAGGTAGAGTAATAAAAGGGTGCTGAACATAAACATTGAGATCTAGAAGGGGAAAAACCCAGAAGTATTATAATTTTCTCATACATAATGCTTTAAGATATTTCTTATGAATAAGGTGCTCTTTCCAATAATCCATTTTCAATTTCACCTGATACACAGCCGTATTTTTAGAATTTCCTCTCTAATAAGCTTGAAATTATCATAACTGACACACAAGATTACAACAAGGTCTGACATAAACATCTAAAAGATTTGCATCCCTTGGTATGGGTAGACAACAACAATAAAAAAAAGGGGGTGTAACATTATTTACTTTGTTTATTACCATAAAACCTCATGTTTTCAGCACCAGGATACAGTAAAGAAATAACTGATGATATGACTTGGGAAGTTAAAAGACCAAATTAATTTTGAGGTGGGTATGTATTGCCATATTTAATAAATAGGAGAAATATTAAAATCATTTATTTTAAAATCTAAAGTAGGAATATTGACAAGGTTAAAACACCCTCAGAGGAGAATACTATGGACAGCCCTCCCCAGGGAAGGCCGTACCCCCACGCAGTCTGCTCTGGTCGTTCCCTAAATGGTCTCCTTGGTCCAGCTCTCCTCCCATTCCAAATCCATGTGATGTTCCGAAGAATATTTATTTTGATTTGAATAGGAATTGCTTTCTTTTATATATTCTATTAAATGTAAGTCCTCTGACTGAGGAGATTTTGTTTTGTTCAAGCAAAGTATCTGGCACATAGCCGGGAAATACAATAAATATGAATGAACGAGTACTGGGAGGGGCAAAGATCAAGGAGGATTTTTATGTTTTTATTTATCCAATAATCAAAAAAGATGCATATCAGGGGGTCCAATTTATGCAAAACACTTTAAGTGGTATTGTAGTCACTGTAGTTGTACGAATAGAAGAGGAGGAACATAAGAAAGAAGAGGACAGAAACTGCTATCAAATATTTACTATTCACCAAGTACTTCGATGAGCTATTTACCAATCACTTTGATGAGCAATTTACCAGTACTATGATAGTTAAAGCTCTTTGAAAAACTCAATCCTTCCCTATAAAGTGCCATTGTTATACATAGTTTATGAAGTTCAGATAACTAAACCTCAAAAAAGGAAAGTAACATTGCCCAATGTCTTACAGCAATTAAGTACCAGGTTAAGGATTCTGATTCCAGAGCCCAAGCTCTTAACCACTATACTTTTATAAGGAGATATTGTCTGAGTATCAAGAAGTTACACATAGGAAACAAATAGAACAAAAAGCATGTAAAGAATGGTTCCCCCACGAGCACTAGAAACATTTTCTGAAAGAATAAGCAATATAAATTGAAATAATCTGACAACTCATTGGCTATTTTAAAACCTTGAATCTCAGACTCTCCTCAAACATTTGCCGTAGTTACAATTATGAAAGGTATTGCCTCAACAAAATGTGTAGCCATGTATCTTCAGCACAGAAAGCTGAAGCTAAACTTCCTAAATCTATCAAAGCATTGAAAGAACTTAATCTTTGACCACCCTGCTTCCCTCCCATTCCCTTTCTATTATCTCATTGCACCTGCATCCCTTCTATCTCCTCTGGCTCCTCAAACAATAAAAAGAATCCTTCCATTTAATCTTCCTTCTCAGAAGCAACAATAGAAGTAACAACACATTTTTAGTAGGAAAACACTTCCTGTTTCTACTTTCCTTTCTAGATTTAGTCTTCCGTCTGCTATCAACAAGATCCTACATTCCCTGCCTTACAGAACGGCAGTTTTAAGCTACTGAAGGACTTCTAAACGTAGAAATACCGGGGAATAGATAACCCTAAATAAACCTCAAACACACCAAACAATTACACCTGGGGAAGTTAAAACAAATGTCCCTCAGTTGCACCGCTGGTCGCAGAAAAAGACAGAAGGGATTCAATCAAGGGCATAAACAAAGCCTGAAACCTGACTTGGACTATTAAGCAAACACTAAACCTGAGCAGCCTGGGAACAAATGTCCATTCCAGGGCAGGAATCAAGGGGCCAGGACTTAGGCCTTCCTGAAGGTCCTTCCCTCCAAATACCTTTAAGAGAATAAAATGAAACCCTCTTTATGGGTGTTCCTTGCAAATCCCATATAAGGCATGATACTCTAGGTGGTTTATGCAATCCTACGGGGAGTTTCTACTGTATTTTTTGCAAAAATAATTGAAAACCCTTTGGGGATGAAAACTTCTAAGAAGTTAGGATCTTCAGAGTTCCATACTTAAAGGTCAACTAAATATGAGCTTCCAATTTTAAAAGAAATCAAACATATAAGGCAACAAGCCACAATAAGTATGAATCAGGAAGGGAAAAAAGAAACAACAGATTAAAACTATCTGAAAATTTTAGCTGTTAGAGTTGCCAAATAGTAATTACAAATATATTTTCAATTAAGTGTATAAGGAAATCAAATGTGGAATAAAGAACACAAACAAGTAATAAATGACTATGAGGAACAAATGGACATTTTTGAAATAGAACCAAATGGGGTTTTGGAAAACAAAGTTGAAATTTTTAAAAGTCAATGAAGAATTAAATATAACTTAGAAACAATTGAATAACAAATAAAAGTGAATAGGAAGGCAGGTCCAAAACATTTCCCAGGTACAGCAAGGTCAAGGACATGAAAAAAATGAATAAAATGCTAAGAGATGTGGAAACTAACTAACACTATCTTAGTGCATGGAGCAAAGAGTAAATATTTTTTTCTTACTTTAGTAAGAGAGGCAATATTTGAAGAGGTATTGGCTGAGAATTTTCCTGAACTGCTAAAATAATTGAATTAACAGATTCAGGAGCCAACAATTTATATGGAAAAAGGATAAATAAAAAAAAATCTGTATCTAGAAAGATGCTAAAGTCAAAGATCTCAAAAGCAAAGACAGAACCTCAAGAAGGAAGGGAAAATGGACTGACAGCAGACATCTCAATAGCAACATGTAAGCAAGACGTTAGTGAATTTACAGGCTAAGAGAACATAATTGTCAATCAAGAAATGCAGTTGTAGCACAATTATCCTTTGAGAATAAGAGTGAAAAAATGTAATAAAAATTTCAAGATGTTATAGATAATTGATCTTCATAAAATAAAATATAAATAATACATTTTAGGAAACAATTTTAAAAAGGGCACTCATGGGAGACAGAGACTAAGATCCAACTAGGAATGGTAAGCCAAAAATGTGTATAAATCTTTTTAAGTTAATAATGTTTATTTGTGAGATTATAAGAAGAGAGACCCAAACACGAGGGAATAGCACATTAGTAGGGGGAGCAATTATTGATCATAAGGTCTCCAAAATATAGCATTGGAAGTAATTCCGATATTGATTGAACCTTTAAGCTTTGTTAAGTTTAGCATGTAAAGAAGAAAACCAAGGCTGAATTGTGTCTCCCCGAAATTCGTATGTTGAAGTTGTAAGCCCAATAGCTCAGAATGTGATTGTATTTGGAGACAGGGACTTTAAAGAGGTAATAAAGATGGAATGAGGTCACTGGGGAGGACACTAATCCAATATGACTACTGTCCTTGTAAGAGGAAATTTGGACACAGACACACACACACAAGACCATGTGAGACACTGGGCGTGATGGCTATTTACCAACCAAGGAGAGAGGCCTCAGAAGGAAAACCTCTGTGGACACCTTGATCTTGGCTTCTACTTCCAGAATTGTAGAAAATAATTTGCTGTGGTTTAAGTGACTCAGTGCATGGTACTTTATTATGGCATCTGTAGCAAACTAATACAAAGAGTAATGAATTACCAAAGTAATAAAATACAGTTTATGACTTCCAAAGCAGAAAGGGTAAAATATGGAATGAAGAGAAAAAAACAAATTCAATTGAAAAACAATAACAAAAAAAGCAAGGGAAAGGGAAAACCATATAATGTGCAGACAAATGTAAAGCACAAAGTGCAATGATATAAACAAGCTGGAGCATATTAACAATGACAATCAAGTCATTAAATTAAAAGCAGAGACTGTTGGATGGAGTTTAAAAACAAATAAAATCCAACTTTAGTCAGTTTACAAGAGACACAGATTTAAAGCCTAAGGACACTGAAAGATTGAAAGTAAACACATGGCAAAAA